GATACCTGATGAAGGGCATTGCCTGAAATGTTGTATCTACAATAGTATATATTATAATATATATATATATATATATATATCTGTAGTTAACATATTGTTGTCTTCAATGGTTTAACTTACAACATACTTCTTTTTTATCTTTCAACAACCACTATGCATAATTTCTTGAACAGTTTTGCATAAATATGTAGCTTACAATGTTAATTTTTAATTTGATGTTCATAACAATTTTAGGCCTGACAAAAAGCATGTGTGTAACTTTCACTGTAAATAATTTCTTTATATATTTATTAGACATAATATGATCTATAACTTTGGTAAATAATTATTTGGAACAACTAATATTCATTTGGTTGTTCCAAGTAAATATTTATCAAAGTATGATGCATGTAGTGTTCTTGCTAGTTGAAATTCTATCTTAAGTTAAAAAGATACTGATATTAAAAGCATAAAAATAATTAGAACAAGAGAATTCTAAGGTCTCATTAATATGCACATTAATAAATCACACACATCCAAAAGGAATATATAGTCTAAAGCATTGTGTCAGATTGTCATTGTTCAACTTTCCCCAAATCTAATCAGAGTTCTTGTCTAAATGTCATTTTAGCACCTGACTTTTGTGTAATTCTAAGCTAGTTGTTACTTTCTTGTTTATACGCTTTAAAAAAAAATTCTCCTGTTTTACTTTACTAGACCTAATTTAACAAGTTGAATTACTTAGCTTACACACAATTTATTAATTTACATTATTTTAGGATTTCCTTCATTACTCTGTTCATGCTATTATATTTTTAAACCCAGTGTCCAATATAAAGTTAAAAAAATATCTCAACCACAAACTGAGATGTGGATGATTTATAAATACGAAACATATTCCACTTATATAGTTATTTAGGCCTAGTTTCTGAAATGTTCTACTCCAACAAAGATTAGTTCATTTTGATAATAAGTTCACATGTTTTCAATGCAATGAATGATAAATACAGTTACTGTTTTTCTATTATCACTTACATGTAGTGGTAATAGACTCAATTGGCATCTACTAAACAAATTAGTAGGGTGACTTCACTGACTATTAATTAAAGAATTATGTTGAAAGCTAACTGATTAAGACATAATTTTCTCACTGGTATAACTATAGAAATGTTAACTGTATTGAATAGTTTATTTAGTGTTTTTCTAAGATCACTTACATATTAAGTGTTATAGAGAAGAAGGATGACTTATATTTATGGTATTTTCAGGTAAAAACAGATTTCCTGATAAATATTAGATGGTTAGACCCACTAATAACAGCAGATTTGCTTGGGAAGTATAAAATGCAATCTGAATCTGATAGCTTGACTGCATTTTCCTAATGTGTATGAAATCATGATACTGGACAAGTTTGACAAAATGAACACAATTTTTATTATAATGCAAACAAAAAGAAAATGCAGCAGTTTGACAACATGAAAGTTAACATTTGCCTACACTGACACTTACAGCTATTATGC